AAAAACCATCGAATATTAACATCGTGGATAGTGGCCAATGGGTCGGCCTCAATCCACTTTTTAAAATAATCTGTTGCTACGATCAACCACTTTAGATTTCCTGGAGCGCGAGGCAATGGTCCGACGAGGTCCAATCTCTATTGTGCGAATGGCTAAGGACTTGAAACAGGATTGAGCTCTTCAAAAGGTTGTTGGATGATTGGTGAAAACTTTTAGCATGCTGAACATTTCTGTACGAGCTATTGTGCGTCACGTTGCATTCGGGGCCATTAGTATCCATATGTGAGCGCCCGATGAGCCAATGATCTGCCCCCTACATGTGCCTCGTATGATCCAGTGTGCATCTCATCTAACACACTTGTGATTTCATCGGGATGTAGGCATTTGAGATAGGTTTCAAATAGGATTTCCTGAACAGCTGCTTTGAATCGCTCAGCCAAAAATGCATAGCTCGCAGTCTGATCTGATGGGCCTCCTTGCTATTAGGGGGTACAGTACCATCAAACAAATATTGGATGAGAGGGGTCATCCAATTTTCCTCAGAATGAATGGGGTGGCAACTTCTCTGGTAATGCTAGATGTGGAAATGGCCCCTATCTCGATCATGCGTCGTTTTGTCTGCGCAATTGATGTGGCCAAAGTGGCTAGTGCATCGGCATGGCTATTTTGGTCTCGCCTAACTTGGTAAATTTTGAAGGAAAGAAATTGCTCGGCCGCGACTTTTGCTATTACCAAATATTTTATCATTCGTTCATTCCTAGCAGCATTCTTGTCATTCATCTATTTGACGACTAGTTATGAATCGGACTGAACTCTTATGGATTTAGCGCCTAACATTTTTGCAGTTGTGAGGCCATTGATGAGAGTTTCATATTCATATTCATTATTAGTAGCCGAAAAACCTAGACGAGCGATATTTCAATTGTCTCTTGGTGAGGCGTGATCAGCATGAATCCAATCCTTGTACCCTTAGCGTTGCTAGCCCCATCGCAATACATTATCCACATGGTGTCGGCGGAGGATGTGATTCCTGTTTCACCCTCCATGGTGCTCATCTTTGGTGAAAATTACGCTAGGAAATAGGCTAAAACCTGCGCTTTGATTGAAGTCCTTGGTCGGAACTGAATATCATATTGTTCGAGCTCAACAACCCACTTGGAAATACGTCCTGAAGAGTCAGATTGGTGCAGGGCCCGTTTAAGTGGAAAAGCTGAATAAATGATGACAGGAAGGGCCAAGAAGTAATGGCGCAATTTGGGGGATGAAACGACCAATGCCAGGTGTAACTTTTCTAGGGGTAGATACCTAGTTTCTACGTCAAGCAACTTTGCTCACATAGAAGATTGGTATTTGCCTAACTAAAGATTCTTTTATGAGTGCCGAACTTACAGCATGATCAAAAATCGCTAGGTACAAGTACAACCTTTCCCCATTGATGGGGTTGGTGAGTAGAGGTGGTTTGGCTAGGCAACTCTTTAGTTCTTATAGAGCATGGTCGCATTTTGGGGTCCATTCGAATCGGTTCTTTTTCTTGGTCAGTTGGAAGAGCAATAGGTGTCGATTGGAGGATCGGCTAATGAACTTATTGAGGGCTGCTGCCATTCCAGTGAGCATTTGGATTCCTTTAACAGTTAAAGGCGGGGTTAGGTTGATCAATGCCTGGATTTGATTAGGATCAGTTTCTATTCCTTGATTAGTGACAATATACCCTAGGAACTTTCCCGATCCAACCCCGAACGCACATTTTGCCGCATTGAGCTTCATCTTGTACCTACATAGTACCTCAAAGGTTTCACAAAGGTCATCAGGATGATGTCTAGCTTCCTTTGACTTGATCACCATGTCATCGATGTATAGTTCAAGGTTTCATCTGATTTGACTGCAGAACATTTTCGTAACCAGCCGTTGGTATGTTGCTCCAACATTTTTAAGACCGAAGGGCATCACTTTGTAACAAAATAACCTAATAGGTGTGATGAATGAGGTCTTTTCCTAATCATCTGGATGTATTGCAATTTGATGATATCCCCGATACGTATCCAGAAAACTCATTCTTTCATGTCCGGAGGTTGCATCTACGAGTTGGTCAATTTTTGGTAAAGGAAAGCTATCCTTAGGGCTTGCTTTGTTCAGATTGGTGAAATCTATGCACACCCTCCATATGTTGTTCTTTTTCTTGACGACCACAATGTTGGACAACCACTTCAGATATTGAACTTCCTGAATAGCATTTGTCTTGAGTAACTTAGCTACCTCTTCTTTGACAGCGTCAACGTGTTGAGGCGTGGACCTCCGATTCTTCTGTATTACTGGTCGGGAGTTTGGATTCACGTGTAATGTCACGACCCAGACCTGGCCCTATGGGTTTAGCATCGTAACCGGCCAGTAATCCATGATTACCAAAGGCCTACTTAACAGTAATGATAGTAATACAGAGTAAAGGGGCTGGCGGAATCCAAAACAGTATATAGAGATGTCCAATGAGCTGTGACATTCTGTATGCAAAAAGACTTTGATGAACAAGTCACATTCGTAATCAAAACACATTTACATATCAGATATACATACATACAAGTTAGGGATTCAATCCCTATGCCATAACTGTACAATAGAAGTCTATAACATCTATTACAAAACAGAAACAGAAGGGTGAATCCGAACACCCAAAAACAGCCGTAGCTTGAACGGACTTGGAACCTCGAGGCGAGGCACAAAGGTTGGCTTGACAAAACAAGAGCTAACCCGACGCTCCTAGCTCCAGTCTAGTGCCTGGACACCTACATATATATATATATATATATAAACAGTGAGCTAAAACCTAGTGAATAACAGTTATGCAAAGAGGTTAAGAATGAATGTCCTTTCAGTAATTAAACAGTCCTATCAGTCACTTAGAAACCATAGCCGTCATATGTGGTGCATCCCATAGCAAAACAGTACAGTAGATCTTAACAGATCGGACAATCAGTCGATGGCCATCATAACAGTAACAGTAATGGTTCCAAACATGGGAACCGACAGAGATCTCTGTGTCAGTAGCACTAACGGTATAGTAACAGTAAATTGCTATGGATGCCACAGTTTGCAAATAGGACAAACATTCATTCATTAAACAATAACGTTTCAGTAAGCAGAACAGTTGATCATTCAGAAAATAATCATAATTGAACATATCTTTACAACGTTGTTACTCATAGAGCACTGGGCTATAAGCAGCTAGTGGGCGTCCTCGGGTGCCAACCCTACATAGTTACAAAACGAACACACACTAAGTTACACACTCGGGAATCAACAACTTAGTCCCTATCTTGACTCGGTGTGGTTCTACATCAATATCCTCATTAAGATGCCTTAAACATGGCCTAGGAATGCCTAGGATGGAAAGAGGATGCAAGGATGCACTTTAAAACACTTTTCAAAATTTGCTGAAACATGGGTCCATGCTCGAGCAGACATGTAGACAAAGGAGCCCCGCTCGAGCGTGACTTCCTACGCTCAAGCGGACTGCAAACTTCATGAAAAGTACTGGATGCATGCAATTCACGCTCGACGGACGCTTGACCCCCGCTTGAGTGTGAACTTCCTCACTCGAGCAGACTGTAAAATACATGAACTTCTAGGCATATGCATTTCACGCTCGAGCGTGACTTTCCACGCTCGAGCGAAAGTGCATGTACTCAGAGTGCACGCTCGAGCGTGAAGTCCTACGCTCGAGCGTAGGTCCAAAATCTAGAATTTCCAGATTGAACCTTAAGCATGAAATTCAACTTTTAAAGCTTCAAATTCAATTCCCTTGGGCTAATTTTCTGGAAAACACTTGAAAACCCATAATACAACATGTTTCAAAGATCAATTTGTAAAATCAAAGCTCATAGGTAAGTCAATTGAACACCATTTCAAAGAAGTTTTTCATGAATTATGTAAAAACATAACATGCATGAACTCTTATGAACTCTAGTGCTCTAAAACTTGATCAAATGCAAGATTAAGCTCAAAACCATGGTGAATTCATGGACTATAACATAAACATGAACATGCATGTGGAAATTCATGAAGAACAACCTCAAAATTCAAGAATATGTACATGCATGCAAGGATTAACTCTCAATTCAACATTTTAAACCAATTCTTGACTTAGATCACTAATTTACCATGAACCATGCAAGAAACAATTTAACTACATAAACCAAATGATGAATTATCTACCTTAGGTCTTGAATTCAAGATGTGGAAGCTCAAATATGCAAATTCCCTTCAATTCCTCTAAGTTTCAAGCCAATCTAGGTGAACTCAACTCCTTTCCTCTCACTCTCCTCTCACCGATGGTTTGGTCTTCAAAAGATGAGCAAATGATATGAAACTAAGCTCTAAACAATGTTTAACAAAGTGGCCCACTAATGGCAATTTGGTAATAACTCAAACTAATGTAATTTAACATTATTTAATCCAATTTAGTCATTCCAAATCAAATTTCAATTAAATCTACCATAAAATCACATAAATTCTAATTAACACAAAACACCAACCGATTTCTGATTCGGCCGCCAATAAGGCCTTCAATTTGTAGTTCAAAATTCAAAACATGAACAGACCGATCAAATGACAAACAGATAGAAGTGCAAGTAAAGCAATATACTCTTGCAATCAGTTCAGAATTTCGGTCTAATCAGTTACTTATCATTCTCAGTCACAGTTTAACATTAATCAGAGGTGAGGGTTGTCACATGTAATTTGTGGCTTGTCACTTTTGGGTTGATGCCCTCCATTTCATAAGATGTCCAGGCGAATATATCCCTGTATTGGAGTAGGAAATCCACCAGTTGACTTTTCTCTTATGGGACGAGAATTTTACCTATGAGGAAGAACCTGTCTTCATCTTCGAGATTGATTGGTATTTTTTCGAGTTCTTCGGCACTCTTAGCTCTAATTTGGGGTTCAGCTTCCTCTCCTGAATCATTTGTCTGAACTTCCGATGGCCGAGTTGAAGATATTGCCATACATCATTTTGCCATTGTCTGGTCCCCCCAAATGGTCCTGACAGTGTTAGCTTCTGGGAAGCGTAGAACCTGGTGGAAGGTAGACGAAACAGCTTCCATTTGGTAAAGCCAAGTTCTACCCATTATGGCATTAAAAGGAGATGGCACGTTGACCACCTGAAACTCGATTTGGTGGACTGTTTCTCCGGCCTTGACTGGCAGAAAGATACGTCCTAAAAGGAATACCGAGCTCAAGCTGAAGCCATAGAGTGGGGATTCCAGATTGAGCAGGGCTTCATGAGACAACCCTAGTGTTTTGAAGAGTCCGTAGTAAATGATTTCGGCCGAATTGCCTTTGTTGATCAATATTCTTTTGACATCAAATTTCCCAATCTGTAGTGTTACTAACAACGCGTCATTATAGGGATAATGGACCCATGTAAGATCCTCATTAGAGAAAGAAATCTTTGTTGATGAACGAACCCTTTTTGCAGCCACCTCTGGTAGGGACATAGTTTCTCTCCGGAGTGTTGGTGCTGCTTCCCGACTTATACATCTTTTTGTTGGAATCGAATAAATCATACTGATAGTTACAGTAGGTTGTGTTTCCCCAGCTTTGTCCCTGGTATTATCCTTTCAATATGTGGACGAGTCAACATAAGATCGTAGATGTCTGCTTTGCACCAACTTTTCCAGGAATTGCTTTAGCGCTTTACAGTCCTCTGTGAGATGTCCGTGGTCTTTATGGTAAGAACAACGCAGTCTTCAATTGTGAAATGAAGGATTACCGAGCATCCGGGGTGGCCAAGAAAAGTAGGGTTCGTTCTGGATTTTTGACATCAAACGATATATCGACTCAGTAAAGGTGGTGATAATTGCTCGAAAGGCCTCTTTTCGTATTTTTGGCTAATCAGCGATTGCGTTAGACTCCTTTCTTTTGTTGTCCGGAGATTTCTTTTCATCTTTTTGTGGAGCCTTAGGTGGGATCTGAACCGGTTTTGGTTCTTCAGCGCCTCTTATGTCATGTTCAATCTTACAATATTGTTCAACTCGCCTCATTAGACTTCACACATCGGTCGGTGGCTTTTTTGTTAGAGACTGCTGAAGCTTGCTCTCAGGTAGCAATCCTAACTTGAATGAGGCTACTGCCAGTTGTTCACTGCAGTTATCGATTTCATTGTAAGCTGCCCAATATTGTGACAACCCTCACCACTATTTACTACTAAACTGAGACTAAGTATGTTAATTGACTGAATGACTGAAAGTCTGAACTGATTGATTGAGTATATGAGTTTAATTGCATTTCTCTCTGTTTGACTGGTAAATTATATGTTCATGTTCTGTGTTTAAACTGCGAATTGAAGGCCTTATCGGCGGCCGAATCAGAAATTGATTAATGTTTTATGATCATTAGAAATTATGTGATTTAATGGTATATTTATTTAAAATGCGATTTGGTATGATTAAATTAGATTAAAATAAGCTAGATTACAAGAGTTGGCCCTATTTACCAATTTGCCACCTAGTGGATTAATCTAGGCAACTCCTCTCCACTTCATACACTCTTGACTAAACATCTCATCAGCCCATTTTGAGAGTCACAACTGACTAGAGAGAGAGATGGTAGGAGAAAATCCTGAGTTCTTGAGAATTGGCTTGGAGATTGAGAGAAATTGAAGGGATTCTTGCATATTTGTACTTCTACACTTGAATTGAAGACATAAGGTAGAGAAATCACTCTCTTAACTGTGTATCTAAGTTGTATCTAGCATGGATCATGGTAGTTTAGAGGGCTAAGTCTAGAATTGGCTCTAGTATGTTGTATTGTAGCTCAAATCATGCATGCATGTTTACATTGTTGAGTTTGGAGGTTGGATTTCATGGGAATCTTGCATGCATGTTCATGTTTGTGTTAAAATCCATGAATTCATCTTGTCCTTGAAGAAATTGACTCACTTGAACATGTATTTGAAGCTTTAAAGTTGATTTAACTCATGCATGTTGCATTGAGGTCATGTTCATAAAATTTGGTTTGAAATTGGGTTTAATTGAACTATATTTGGGCTTCGATTTCTCAAATGGATCTTTGAAACATGTAATGTTATGAGTTTTGAAGTGTTTTCCAGAAAATTAGCCCAAAAGGATTGAATTTGATACATTTGAAGTTGATTTTGAGCTTGAGGTTCAAATCTGGGAATTTCAGATTTGGTCTCACGCTCGAGCGAGGTGACTGGCGCTCGAGCGTGAAATTCGTGCATCCAGCACTTTAGTTGTGTTTGCAGTCCGCTCGAGCGAGGTATTGGACGCTCGAGCAGGATCTTGTGTCTCACGCTCGAACGGGTGTAGAGCGCCTATCGAGCGTGATTTTCACACATCCAGCACTTTTGACTGTTTTACAGTCCGCTCGAGCAGGCAAGTATACGCTCGAGCGGAACCCTTTTGTTGCATGTTCGCTCGAGCGGAGATAGTCACGCTCGAGCGGGACCTCTGCTTTCTGAAAATTCTGAAAATGTTTTTAAAGCGCATCTTTGCATCCTCATTTCATTCTAGGCATTCCTAGGCCTAGTTTAAGGCATCTTAATGAGGATATTTATGTAGAACCACACCGAGGGAAATTAGGGATTAAGTTATTATTTTTTTCAACTACGTAGCTTAGTGTATGTTCAATCTGTAACTGTGTAGGGTTGGCATTCCGGAGACGCTCTAGCTTATCCGTAGCCTAGAACTCTGTGAGTAACAATGTTGTAAAGATATATTTAATAATGCTTATCTTTTGAACAACTGAACTGTATTATTTTCTGAAATGATACTGTTACTGAATGAATGATGTCCTATTTGTGAACTGTATTCGTGGCATCCATAGCAACCTACTGTTACTGTACTGTACTACTACTGTCACAGAGATCTCTGTCGGTTCCCATGTTGGAACCACTACTGTTTACTGATATGATGGCCATCAACTGACTGTTCGGTCTATAAGACCTACTGTACTGTTTTGCTATTGGATGTACCACATATGACTATTTTAGTTTCTGAATGACTGTTGGCATGAAATATGAGCCATAAACTGAATGACTGATATATTGTTTAATTGACTGTTTTCAATACTGAAAGGACATTCATTCTTAACCTCTTTACGCATATGTTATTCACTGGGCTTTAGCTCACTACTTATATATATATATATATATATGTGTAGGTGTTCAGGCACCGGACCGTTGCTAGGGGCGTCAGGCAGGCTCTTGTTTTGTCAGCCAACCATTGTGCCTCACTGCGAGGTTCCAAGTGTGATCAAGCTTAGGTTGCTTTTGGGGTGTCTTAGTTTCACCCAACTGTCACTGTTCTGTAATACTGTATAGACTAAATGTTTTTGAACTGTACTGTTTACATAGGGATTAAGTCCCTGTCCTGAAAGATTGTAAATATTGTGCATACTGTTTGGTACTGACTGTGTACATGTATGAAAAGTCGTTTCCATACAGACTGTCACAGCTCATTGGACAACTTTAATTACTGTATTGGCTTCCGCTAGCCCATGTACTCTGTATCACTGTTCTACTGTTAAGCAGGCCTTTGGTAATCTCGGATTACTGGCCGGTTACGGTACTAAACCCATAGGGGTGAGTTTGGGTCGTGACAGAGTGGTATCAGAGCGATACTAAATCACGAGTTATACCGCACACACGTGTCCAAACAAGCTATAGGAGGTCCTAGAAAAGAAATTAGGGCATTGCATGAACATGAAAAGTGTGTGTGGCTATGACATGAATATAAATGTTAATGTGTTAATGTGTTTAGTATGCAACTGCCTATGTTTATAATTACCGTATTGTCTATGGTGTAATGAAATGAAACCTATGTGCATAATCGAAGAAGTTAAGTGGAGTAACGTATAACGTTAATGTTAATACCGAATGTGGAATATATGTAAACATGGACGTGTGAAAAAAAAGGGTCGTGTGACCGTACCTGAGCTGAAATGAAAGTATAAACACGTCTGATATGAGATAAAAAGTGAAATCAGTAAGAGCCTTTCCTATACTGATAATCACCCTGTTTGTGTGTAAACAAGGGAAAGAACGAGGAATGTAGATGAAACCGAATCCTCTGATCCTAGAATTAATGAGCTAGAAGGAATGGTTGAAGCCTTAACCGAAAATCTGAGACAATAAAGGCAGACACACGTGCCTGAATCAACTATTGATGATCTGATGACACTGCTACAGAAACACAATAAACTGAAGCCACCGAAATTTCTGGGGGGTGTCGAACCACTGAAAGCTGAGGCTTGGGTTAGAAATTGAGAAAATATGTGAAGTTTTCTTCGAAAATTATTTTTTCCCAATGCATCCAAGATACGAAAGTATCTGAGTTTGAATAAGGTGAGTAAGGTGATAAGACTGTGGTCAAATATGAGGTAAAATTTACCCACCTAGCTTGCTAAGCACCCACATGATAGATACTGACTACAAAAGGCTAAAAAAAAAAATCATAATTTTGAAGTGGTTTGACCTAGATGTGTTTGACCAAATTGACGTTTTAAAACCGTCAAAGTATGTGGATGTCCTGAATAGTGCATTAACGCCTGAGACAACATGGCAGTATTGAAATATCCAAACCAACATCGTCAACTGAATCAGAAAGAATGAAATAGAAGAAACAGAAAGTGGAAATGACCAGTAATTCAATGACCTGTGAATGGAAAATCTCAGGCAATAGCTTTGAACAAAGAAGGTCGAGGAAGCAATGTGAACAATGATATACCTATCTGATATACCTATCTGTTGAGAATGTGGGAAATAATATTGGGGTGTTGCCGCCGCCTATCCGAAACTTATTTTGGATGTGGGCAGGAAGGACACTTGCCCAAATCCTGCCCACGAACTCATCCGAACAACAATGAACCTAAATCTATACCCTAGTTCCAGAAAATACTCAGAACACTGAAATGACTGACGCAGGTATTACCTTAATTATGTGTAATTGCCTATACGAACATTTGTGTGGGAATCGTACATTTCTTAATTTGATGTAGACTGTGGACATGTTGACTGAACTAATTGAATTACTGAAATTATGAACCCCATGCTATGAGAATTGTAAGGACTTGTGAGCAAGGAGAATTTACTGGGATAGGTCCTTGTATCGTATTGCAACAACTGAATGTGAACTATTAGGTCTGACCTTTGAACTGTGCTAGAACTATTGAATGTGGGAACACCTTATGATTGACTGTAATTCGAGAAATCTGTACAACTATGACTCGAACCGAATTGTTATATGTCGACAGACATCATTGAACGATCAGACCCATGAACTCGAATTATATACGTGAACCGTTGTGTGTGGAACTTCTGAAATTAAGAACCCATGTCGGTTTAGGAGGGTGAACTTCTGTTTATGAATTTGCGAACGAATGCCTTAATGATAATTGATGTTAGACTCACACCTGTATGTGTATTCCGATGCTTGTAATACTATTAGAACTGACGCGGATGAATTGTGGTTAATGA